TTATCTAACCTTTATTTATCCAGGTAAACTGTTTGAGAACCACTTCTCAGTTACAAACATGACCTGGCACTGAGTGTGTCATGGACTAATTATTTATTTCTGTTTCACCTTGACACTGCCCATCACTCGTATCTTTCTGATAGCTCATTTCGCTCTCGTTGTCTGTTTGTTTCCGGACGTCAGGACTCCGCAACGGACTGAACTCTCTTGGTTGATAACAGACTCTTTGGGCTGGGAGCCCTGTCGTAGGCTGGACAGTATATTTGGCAACCTGTGATTGGTTGTAAACTGTCACATGGTGTTAACATGATGTTATATTACTGGCTGTAGTCTGCTGACGAGTTCAGTCGCAAGCATGCACAATTTCCTGATTCAGTTCTGTTTGTTTGTCGCTCATAATTAAACCATATTTGATTATCATACACGCAGACTTTTCTGGTATTATTCCAACATGTTTCTGCTTTTTGCGACGACAGACTGCATTGCAATATACAAACCTACATAGCCATAGTAAAGTGATTGTAAATTTTAATCGCGATTAAAATTTTTAATCTATGCCCATGCAGCACTAAAATTAATCAGAGTTAACTCGATTAATTTCACAACCCTAATTTTAATTTAATTACTTTCTTTTAACTCTGGGGTAAAAAAAAAAAGCCTCTTACCTTGCCAGCTGTCATTACAGACACAGAGTTTCTCTCCGGTGAGGTCGCAGTAGCCGTGGTCGGGGCTCCCGCAGTTGTTCCTGCAGTAAGGGATGTCGCAGGCCTCGCCTTTCCAGTATTTGTCGCACTCGCAGTACACTCTGCTGGCAGCTGAGTTTCCTGGGGTGCACTTCCCATGACCAGAGCAGTTATTGGGACAAGAGTTGATCCTGAGGGAGAAATCGGGCTCGTTTTGAATAACTTGGCAGGCCACGCGTTCAAACTCGGCCAGTGTTTTCACGTAAGATACTCACGAGTAGAATATTTCAAATCCTGTCAGATTATAGGCAGCGTCGCTGAAAAAGTGTAATAGTGCATAGCCTGATGTTGTCTCCACCTCAGGAACCGTCTCATTACCTCGTATCTCTGGAACAATGAGGCCACTAAGGAAATACACAGAAAAAAGGCACTGATATAACTTCTTAAAATATATTTATAACACGGTGAAAGCAGCAACACAAACCAGTTACTCCTTTCAGGTGTAGTAGTTGTGCTCTGACAAAGACAATGTAGAACATTTTAACTAGTTCAAAATGACATTAAACACATGAGCACACTTTAGTCTAAATGCAGCATAACACACAAAAAAATGCACCCAGCCTAAATAAAATTATTTACTAAATCTCACCTGAAAACAGCAATCAGCGGCGCGTACACCGAGTCTCCATCATACACGTACATGTGGTCCCAACTACATTCTGTGGCAAAGTGGTTGAACCTCAACCGCAGAACTGCATTTGGACTGGAGAAAGAAAAAGGAAATGGAAAAAGAAATGTGGTTTCTGTCGCATGGAAGAACACAAAAAAGGCATTTTTACGTTGCTAGTAAATCTCATTGATATAAACAAGTCAGGGCTTAAAGTTAAAAGATAATCCTGAGCCTGAAACCTTTTATGGTGGTGATAGAAATTAAATAATAACATTTTTACTCTTGCCAGTCTATGAGAACCTATGCTAAAATCCACACTTTAAATGACACAGAAAGAATGGGGTATTTACTGCCTTACATTAGAGGCTGAGGCAAATCAATTGTACAAGGGCGGGTCATGATATTTTTTGGTTTTCCAAAAACAAAGTTTATTGATTTATTTTGAGAGTAACTAATTTTTGGGACTCAAAGTTGCTGTGTCATCATCAACTTCATCTCTGTAATCCCACAGCCAGGAGGTAGCACAGAACATGTATCATCAACATCTCTTTTTATTTTGCCCAAATCCTGTGTAAAATTGAAAATTGCAGATTTTTACGACTAAATATGAGTATATAAAAAAAACAATTCTGGGCATCTGAAGGTTTTAGCAAGTCAATTTTAAGAGAGAAAAATACTAGAAATATAGATGATGGTTAGAGGATCCTGCTGTATTACAAACAAGCATCACATGTTTGTCACTCAATGAAACACATTGAGTGTAAAGTGACAGTCAGTGCTCTCTGGTTCAATTAGCTGTATTGTACAAAGTGTGGTTATATTGTTGGAAACATCCTACAACAAGGCATCTACTACACACATTCATGGCATGAGGCCTAATTGTCTCCTAAACCTATATAGTCTCTAGTTTTGCCTTTATACATAAATAAGTCATCCAGCCAACTGTCAAGAAATTTACACTGTAACCTGMATCATCAAGACCAACAACCTTCTGAAGGAAAAGAAAGGTTTTAATCATTTTTCTGTCGTTTACTTTTAGGTCATTTCAGGGTTTTGAATCGAGGAGTTGTCTGATATATTTGAAAAAAATATACAGCACAGAAAATTCTTTGCAAAGTATAAATGAACTGCATATTTTAATTGTCAGTTTGACATTTTTCTCTCTTAAAATGACTACTTCATTCAAATTAGGGCTGCACGATATTAGGAAAACCTGAGATGTGCGAGAACAGTGCTTAATACCGCGATGACAATATGACTTGAGATAAATGAACAAATAGTTATGCAGTGTTGATGTCTTTCTGCCCAGAGTAAACAAAACAAAACAAAAAAACAATTTCCATCCCAGCATGATTTTTTTTTAAATACGTGAAGGGCTCTATTTGATTGGGGAAATAATTCAAGCTTAAAGGCACAGTGTGTAGGATTTTGTCAATTCTTTTAGCCGAAATTGAGATAATCACTAATGACAATAATAAAAAACATGTCTAA